ATTGGACACAACTCACTGATTTGTAAGTAGAGAAACCTTTGATCTTTTGCAGTTTATGAAAGCAGACCTGAGATGGATAATTTGTTCACAAGCTTCTTATATGTTTCTGTAGGCAATTTCAAGGGAACTCTTTCGAAGGCCCAATACCAACCAGCTTTTCTCAACTGACCTCATTGAAATCTCTGTAAGTACAAATGTTTCATATTTTGTAATTCTCTCTCTCTTTCTCCGAAGACGGGATTTCAGTTTATTTTGCATATAATGATGTAGGCGAATCGGTGATATATACAATGGGAGCTCTTCTCTTGATTTCATAAAAAATCTGAAAAACTTGACTGATTTGTAAGTGAAGATTCTCATCGATCCAGATACTTTCATATAACTTCTTTTTCCTTTTGAAATTTGATATCTTACTGCATCTACTTTTTTATCAAATTTTATGTTTTTGGAATACAGAAAACTGCGAAACACATTAATCACTGGTACCATCCCATCTGATATTGGAGAATATCAAAGTCTACAGATACTGTACGTACCAGCAAATATAAGCTTGAGTCCCAACGAGACCAATTAGTTTTCTTTCATTTTGATTGCTCCGCTCAACTTATCGTTGGTGTTGCAGGGATCTCAGTTTCAACAATTTGACAGGCCAACTCCCAAGTTATTTGTTCATCTTGAGTTCTCTTACATCCTTGTAATCCCCGTCTTTATTATATCTTTTTCTTGCCTTATCATACATAAGTTATCAAATCTTTAACATTCCCTACTTTGATTGAAGATCCAGTCCTTCTAGATTTTGTGCACATCTGACCTTTTTCTTGCTCATCTCTTTTTCTTTTCTGGGTGCCTTCTACTATAATCGAAATGGCCAGGTTTCTTGGAAACAATAGTCTCTCCGGACCTCTTCCGAGCCAAAAGAGCTATGAACTTCAGACTATGTAAGTTCTCGTTTCTTAAAGAGTTAATTGTAGCTATGGTCCCTTAACTTTAAGTCAATTGTAGTTTTGATCCCTCAACTAAAATTCCATTAGATATAGTCCTTGAACTTAATAAAATGTGGAGCATAAGTCCTTTTTTTCTAAAACCGTCAAATTCTCCGTTTGAGGTGCTTACATGGATGGCAGATGCAGAAATATTTGAAAACCCTAAAAACATAGTTCTCTGTACAACAGCAAGACTGTCACAATTACCACCAATTGACTCCATCCCTCTCAATTCTGCTTTGCCAAGCTCCTCCCAAACCCTCTGAAAATAAACCCCATTAGTTTGCCCCGCCGCAAATGGTTCTCAAAACCCAAAACAAACCCAAATTGGCCGTGAACGGAGTAGCACTACCCGTAATCCCGAGGTCCCCATCTACCCGAATAATGAAGATTGAAGGTGGTTTAGTGGAGCTACGAGAGATATGGAGATCCTGGAATGGGGAGGATGAAAGATGGGAGGGGGAAATCATGTTTTATTTTTATTTTTTGTTTCTTTTGTAGAATATTTATAATAAAAATCTAAGTTATATACCTAATTTTTTATCCCATTCGGCACCCATTTAACATAATGTGAGTCCCATTGTACTGCCACACAAGCACATTAACAGTAAACATAACGGAAGGATCATTGCTCCATAATTTGACAAGTTGAAGGATTATATCTAATGAATTTTTAGTTGAGGGACCAAAGCTACAATTGACTTAAAGTTAAGGGACTATAGCTACAATTTTCTCTTTCTTAAAGTAGTCATATAGAATGCACGGTGCATGTATGTGTTTGTGTATAATTGTAAGCATTCTAATCCTATCTTACACAAGTTCTTAATAACTTTCATGCATTTTGTGTCTTCTGATTCTATTTTGTTATTTGCAGAGATTTGTCTTACAATTTTTTATCAGGAAGCTTTCCCCAGTGGGTGACCACAACATCGCAACTGTACGTGTTCTTTTATCTTTCACCTTCATTTTACAGTTTAAATCACCAGAATATGTTCAGACAAAAAATTATCGCTGAGATTCGTTTTCACAGTGCTACTTGCCTGCCTACTAAGTTTTGATCTTGTACATGGAATTTTCATTTGATAAAGATATATTTCTTCATATGTTGATTGATTAATGATTTTATGCAGGAACTTAGTGGTCAACAACTTCACATTTGACAAAAAAAACATAACGTGAGTTGAAGTTTCTCTTACTCGTTTTTAGACGAGCAATACTATCACTACTCTTCCACTACATGTTTCTATTTGGATAACTAATAATTGTTCCCTGTGTTTGCAGTCTTCCTGGATTGAATTGCCTCCAGAGAAATTTTCCATGCAATCGAAATGCCCCACGATGTAATCTGCTCTTATGTCACCCATCATTTACTATTTTAACGCAATGTCATGTTAGAGGAAAAGGCATTGCTTCTCTAGTTATGTATACATATGGATATAGATTGCAAGCATGTTTTCATAAGTTCAGTAATACGCATAACAGGTTAGAAATATGTGACAGATGAACATTAGCATGAGTCTTCAATTTGACGTTTCATCGCTAATCATGGCTAGCTTCTGGTATTACATGAAACTTTACAGATGCAAACTTCTCAATCAACTGTGGTGGACCGCAAATGACGGGAAGTGATGGCATATTGTATGAGGCTGAAGACTCAACTCTTGGCCCAGCAACATTCAGTGTAACCAGTACAGAGAAATGGGTTGTCAGCAATGCCGGTTTGTTTTATGAAAGAAAAAACCAATCGTTTCTGCAAAATACCCTTGCACAAGTCACTGGAACAAATGTGACCCCGGAGCTTTTCCAGACTTCAAGAGTGTCCCCAGGATCACTAAGATACTATGGCCTGGGCCTTGAGAATGGGCCTTACACTGTAACATTGCACTTTGCAGAGACGGTTTATGAAAGTCGCACTTCGCAAAAATGGGAAAGTCTAGGACGACGTGTATTTGATATCTATATTCAAGTAAGGCTGCTTATAGAATAAAAATTCTGACTTATTTTAAGTAAACACTCATTGGACAGGTTTTCGATGTTTTAAGCTACATTAACTAAAGACAGTGATTTAAAGGAGACTAGAATTATCACCTATCTCTTCATTTGGTTGCTAGGGTACCCGCAGGACGAAGGACTTTGACATATCCAAGGAGGCAGGTGGGGCTAAACTAGGAATTATGAAAAGATTCAATGTTAGCGTGTCAGAGAATTATCTTGAAATTCATCTGTTCTGGGCTGGTAAAGGGACTTATTGGATACCCGAGAAGGGTTATTACGGCCCACTAATAGCAGCCGTCCATGCTGCTTCAGGTATAATTTGTGTTAACCAGTTGGATTTCCTGTGAATGGTTTAAATGTATTTTTCTGCTGTTAATTGACACTGAAAAATTCTTCTGTTTTATCGCTCAGATTTTACACCAACAGTTTCCGGGCTTCCACCAACTACTCCAGGAAAGAAGAGCAGGACTGGGTTGATAGTTGGTATTGCAATTCCTGTTGGAGCTGTGAGCTTGCTATTAATATTTGCGATTCTATATATGAGGAAAAAATCAGAAAAAGAGGATGACGAAGGTAAACAACCATTTTATTAGTGGTATCCAATTCAGGTTTCTCTGCTCTGACATTAACACACACAAGTAAAAATGTTTTCACGAAAGTAAAACTTATGTCACACTGTTTTGTGAATGTGCAGATATTCTAGGATTAGGCCCTCAACCAAATACTTTCAGTTATGTTGAGTTGAGAGCTGCAACCGAAGATTTTAATCCTTCAAATAAGTTAGGAGAGGGAGGATATGGCCCTGTTTATAAGGTGAAATCCGTATTACATCAGTATCATGTACTTGAAGTAATGACAAGAGAAAGGGAGAGAGAGCGAGAGAGCGAGAGAAGAAAATAAAGCTTATTTTTTCTTTCCTTTCATGTCACTAAATTGTGTTTCTGTGTACATTGTAGGGTACACTTTTTGATGGGAGAGTAGTGGCTGTTAAGCAACTTTCAGTAGCATCTCACCAAGGGAACAGTCAATTTGTATCTGAAATTGCTACCATATCTGCTGTGCAACATCGGAATCTAGTGAAATTGTATGGATGCTGCATCGAAGGCAGCCACCGCATTTTGGTTTATGAGTATCTTGAAAACAAGAGCCTTGATCAGGCACTTTTTGGTACAAACCTATCTACTTTTAGGTTGCATAGAAACAACATTGTCTGCAGTTTCAAGCACTCTAAAATTGTCAAGAAATGTTTTTGATTGGATGTGTTCACTAATATTTCAGGAACAAGTAACTTGCACCTTGACTGGCCTACTCGATTCAATATATTGTTGGGAACAACAAGAGGACTTGCTTACCTTCATGAGGAGTCAAGGCCAAGGATTGTACATCGAGATGTCAAAGCGAGTAATATTTTGCTCGATGCAAAACTCTCCCCAATAATATCAGATTTTGGACTGGCAAAACTTTATGATGACGAGAAAACCCACATCAGCACTCGGGTTGCAGGGACAATGTAAGCCATCCTTTATTGTTTTTTCCAGAGGATACATACATTATGGCCACACACATTTATACTTGCATGAAATTTTAACACACATGTTAATAATGCCTCTAATGATCTCAAGCAACATTGTGCAACCATTTGATTATCTTGCATTGCAGAGGCTATTTGGCACCGGAGTATGCAATGTTTGGACATTTGACAGAGAAGGCCGATGTGTTTGGTTTTGGAGTCGTCGTTTTAGAGATCCTCAGCGGGAGACCAAACTCTTACAATAACTTGGATCCAGAAAAGATTTATCTTCTTGAATGGGTAGGAATTGCATTCGCCTAGCTTCATTTAGGCATTGTTGTGAAAAACTTATTTATACTTTCCTTTGATCGTGGCATAATGTTTTTCAGGTATGGACTCTACATGAAAACGACCAAACTTTGGGGCTGATGGATCCGAGATTGACAGAGTTTGATGAAACTGAAGCAACTAGATTGATAAGAGCAGCTCTCCTGTGCACGTAGGGATCACCGATGGCACGACCATCTATGTCACGTGTGGTTGCAATGCTCTCTGGAGACATTGACATAAGCACTGTCATGTCGAAGCCAAGCTATTTGACAGATTATGATTTTAAAGGTGTAACAACATCGTTAACAAGTAGATTTTTGGTGGAGGATGATACCCCATCAACTTCATCCAAGGGTAGTAATGTTCGCCTCAACTATCAATCTGGAGGCAGCAATGCAAGTGGTGCTAACACTCCCTAGATTGACCCTAAACCTTCTGTAAACATCACTTAATCACTGCTCGCTAGCATTAGAGGAGAAGGAAGGTGATAAATATCGGGAAATGATTTTCGCATACTCTTTTTACCCCTTTGTGCACCCTTGTACTTGTTTTGGACTCTTTCCTTTTATATAATACACATTTTAATAATTAATTGTAATTGTAATTTAGCTTTGGCTTTTGGTAGTGGGCAGGGGACTGGCATGCCAGATTTGAATATACCTTAGCAGATGGATGTATATCCTACTTATTCATACACAATGTTTATAGATATGTTCATGAACCACCACCACTGGATGGAGATCCCACCACTAAAAATTAAGAATGTGTTCAGGGAATTCAGATAATTTAATAAGGCCTTTTGGGGTCTATAAATTGAGCCTTGATGTTGATGGTCCAGTTGCAGAATAAAGAAGAAAATGCCTTTTTGGGTCTATAAAATGAGCCTTGATTTTGATTGGACGTGTTCACTAATATTTCAGAGACAAGTAACTTGCACCTTGGCTGGCCTACTTGATTCAATATATTGTTGGGAACAGCAAGAGGACTTGCTTACCTCCATGAGGAGTCAAGGCCAAGGATTGTACATCAAGATGTCAAAGCCATTAATATTTTGCTCGATGCAGAACTCCCCCCAAAAATATCAGATTTTGGATTGGCAAAGCTTTATGATGGCGAGAAAACCCACATCAGCACCTGGGTTGCAAGGACAATGTAAGCCATCCTTTATTATTTTTCCACAGGATACATATATTATAGCCACACATTTATACTTGCATGAAATTTTAACACAAATCATGTTAATAATGCCACTCATGATCTAAAGAAACATTGTACAACAATTTGATTATTGCATTGTAGAGGCTATTTGGCACCCGAGTATGCAATGCGTGGACATTTGATAGAGAAGGCTGATGTGTTTGGTTTTGGAGCTGTTGCTTTGGAGATCCCAAGCAGGAGACCAAACTCTGACAATAACTTAGATCCATAAGAGATTTATCTTCTTGAATAGGTAGGAATTGCATTCCCCTAGCTTTATTTTGGCATTGTTGTGAAAAACTTATTCACCCTTTCCTTGGACCATGGCATAATGTTTTTCAGACATGGACTCTACATGAAAATGACCAAATTCTGGGGTTGGTGGATCCGAGATTGACAGAGTTTGACGAAACTGAAGCGACTAGACAGATAAGAGCAGCTCTCATGTGCACGCATGCATCACCAATGATGAGGCCATCTATGTCACGCGTGGTGGCAATGCTCTCTGGAGATATTGACATAGGCACTATCATGACGAAGCCGAGCTATTTGACATATTATGATTTTAAAGATGTAACGACATTGTCAACAGGTAGCTTTTTTATGAAGGATGATACCCCATCAAATGCATCCAAGCATAGTAATGACCGCCTCAACTATGAGCCTGAAGGCAACAATACAAGTGGTGCTAACACCCCCCGTGGTTGACCTTGCGCCTTATCCAGTAAACGTCACGCAATCACTGCTCGCTGGCATTATTAGAGAAGGAAGGTGATAAATAATGGGAAATGATTTATGCACGCCTTTTATCCTTTTGTGCACCGATGTACTTGCCCTTGAGTAAAACTTACATGTCAATTTTGTGTTAGTATGTTCGGTGTAAATCTCCACTTTTAATCAAAAGGAAAAGAATGGATGTTTCTTTTTCTATAGTTTGTGCTATTCACACACCCATTTTAATTTCTCACACATTTTTTTGGTAATTTTTGTCTTTTGGTATTTTTTAATTCATTCGATCCGACGGTCGAAAATTGAGAAGAATGAGTGGAGGTAAAATAGGTGTGAATAGCACCACCCTTTTCTATCTGATACCCAAGTAGGTATAATAAAACATAAGCAATCTTAGTAGATGCCTATAAACAAAAGCCACGAGTTGGCTCTAGATGAGTTATTGTCAATTGTTGATTCTTTACGGTGTCATCCTAATGTGACTCTTTGGTAGGGTTTTTGCATACGCCAACTTTTTTACATGAATGATTATGAATTGTTGGTCGAACAGTGTCACCTGAAGAAAATCTTTGGTTAAATTGCTATGCAAGTGTCGCCTTTCTCACATGAGTGGTCTCAACGGTGGGGCCCGAGTAAAACCAAAATGTAGGGAAGTTCATGCTCACCAAAGCAAATCTCAGTTGAAAAATAACCTCGGAACAATAAAAAATTCCAAAGCAAGATCAACCTGTTTAAGGCTATGGTGCTCATCTAGTTGTCTTTGTGCCTTTTTTCTTTACATTTGGAAGTGCCAGTGCCAGATCACTTGAGGCAGCAAGTCCAGGCCCCATATTTTATTCGTCTCTATTGCCTACACTGAAAGTGACCATTAGAATTCGTCTCTATTCGTCACTCACTTTGCTCTTCTCTGCAAAAGTATTAATTACATGTACACACACACTTATTAGCAGCATATATACACCTATATATATAATCTCTCTTAGTATCATCAGAACTCAAAGAAAGAAGGAGAGCTTTGGAGAAGTGAAAGTAGTAGCAGAAACTAGAAGAAGAAAGGGAGACATTTTAGTCTCCCCCCAGAAGCTGAGGTTGTTGCCCGTCAAGAAGTGTTTGTACGTGGTCAAGGCAAGCACCTTTTTGACCATCTTATCTGGCTTCAAATTCGCATTCACTACCTCTTCTAGAATCACATCGAACACCTTCTTGAAATCAGCCCTCCAGTCCTGGCTTTTGATCAAAGTCTGCATAATATTCGGCCCTCGAATTAAGATCCTCGCCTTGTATCGAATGCAGTTAAGGGTTTTTGCTTTAAGTGACCTCATTTCCCTTCCATCGCTCGTCACTCAATTACAACAACAACAACAACAAAGCCTTTTCCCATTAAGTGGGGTCGGCTATATGAATCCTAGAATGCCATTGCGCTTGGTTTTGTGTCATGTCCTCCGTTAGATCCAAGTACTCTAAGTCTTTTCTTAGGGTCTCTTCCAAAATTTTCCTAGGCCTTCCTCTACCCCTTCGGCCCTGAACCTCTACCCCTAGGCCTTCTTTGCACATGTCCAAACCACCGTAATCGATTTTCTCTCATCTTTCCTTCAATTTCGGCTACTCCTACTTTACCTCGGATATCCTCATTCCCAATCTTATCCTTTCTCGTGTGCCCACACATCCCACGAAGCATCCTCATCTCCGCTACACCCATTTTGTGTACGTGTTGATGCTTCACCGCCCAACATTCTGTGCCATACAACATCGTTGGCCTTATTGCCGTCCTATAAAATTTTCCCTTGAGCTTCAGTGGCCTACGACGGTCACACAACACGCCGGATGCACTCTTACACTTCATCCATCCAGCTTGTATTCTATGGTTGAGATCTCCATCTAATCCGTTCTCTTGCAAGATAGATCCTAAGTAGCGAAAACGATCACTTTTTGTGATCTTCGCTAGATTGCTCCGGTCATTAGTGTGGATAAGTATATAAATGGATAGAGATAGGAAAGCAAACACAAGATGTACGTGGTTCACCCAGATTGGCTACGTCCACGAAATAGAGGAGTTCTCATTAATTGTGAAGGGTTTACACAAGTACATAGGTTCAAACTCTCCTTTAGTGAGTACAAGTGAATTATTTAGTACAAATGACATTATGAAATATTGTGGGAGAATGATCTCGTAGTCACGAAACTTCTAAGTACCAGAGTGTGGTATAGTCTTGACTTGCCTTATCTGTCTCATAGGTAGATGTGGCATCTCCTCTGGAAGTACTCTTCCTCCATCCAGGGGTGGTATCTTTAACTGGTGGAGATGCACAAGGTAATGTATCAATTTCACTTGAAGCTTACTTGTAGTTTCAGGCTTGGTCAAGCGCGATACAAACCATGTAGTAGGAGTCCCCCAAGTCGCCGAGCTAGGGGATCTGCTGAAAGAGGTGACAGACAAGTTAAGCAATTAGAGCTCCAAGCAATCAGTCCTAGATCAGAACTTTGATTTCGAGTTCCGGCTGATTGTTCACATTCTCCCTATCTTGCAGGCAGCATGAAGGATAAAGAAAAGAAAAATGAGAATATATGATATGGGATACTTTTGCTTTTGAAGAAGTAATTTTCCACAGGCTTATTCTTGAACTGGGCTGAAGGGTTTTCTGGTTTCCTCCAGAGTATAAGGCCGACTGAAGAATTTGAGGGTCAAAACAAGTCCATCAAATCTAGAGTACGTTCGACCCTGCTGATATGGGATACTTTTGCTTTTGACAGAGTAGTGGATGTATCGGCACGTGTGCTGTTACGCTTGTCTCCACATGCTTCCTTGTATCCTTCTCACTTGCCCTATCTGTTCCTCAGGCAGATGCAGTATCTTCCCTGGAAGCATAAGATGTTAAAGATGAGTACTCGAGAGCAATGCCAGGTAAGTTATCAGGTAAGGGGTTTCAGGCAGTCAGTTCCTGACTGGAAGCTTGATTCCAAGTGCTGACTGATTGCTCTATTTCTCCTTGTCTTGCAGGTAAGAACAAGGCCAAAGGAAAAGACAGGGAAAAAGCATGATATGGGATACTCTTACTTTTAACCCTGATGATATGAGATATTCTTGCTCTAGTATAGCTTGTTTGTAGAGGTATTATCGGGGGAAAAGAAAGCTGAATATTTCGAAAGGCTTCGTTGGGAGTGCCCTCTCAGATATGAGGAAAGGTTGAGCATTTTTGCAGGTCTGCCTGTCCGTTAGGGATGGAAGTCGACATATATAAGAGTCTCCCTAACAAGTAGTAATGCTATTCTTTTACCCTGCTTGGTCATAACACGGTAGTGGGAGCTGCCAGCTTCACATGTTTTAACTCTGTCAGAGCACTTTGAAAAAGTGATCTGTGGTATCTGGAAAACTGATGTTGCGTGTGAAGATTACAGACAAGCTTTATCCAAGGAGATCCGGCTTTTGAAGTTGGGAAAGTGGTGCCTCTTCGGTTTTCGAACAAGTAATCCTGTCGAGAATCTGGCTCTCGAGATTCGAAGAACGATGCCTCTTCAATTTTTGAGAAAGCAATCATGCTGGAGGTCTGGCTCTCGAGATTCGGAGAGCGGTGTCTCTTCGATTTTTGAGAAAGTAATCATGTTGGGAGTCTGGCTCTTGAGATTCGGAGGGCGGTGCCTCTTCGATTTTGGAGCGAGCAATCTTGTTGGGAGTTTTCTCGAATATGAGTAAAGGTTGGGCATGTTTGCTAGTCTACCTTGCCACGAAGCACAGAGATTGACACACAGGGACTTTCCAATTATCCAGCAGTGGTATTGTTCCTTTACCCTTATGGGTAATAATATGGTAGCTAGACCTTCAAAATTTATGTGTCTAAACTTTGTTAGTGCTGTTTCTTTGCTATTCTTTTACCCTTCTTGGTCAGAGCGATGTAGTGGGAGCTGCAAGCTTCACGTGTCTCAACTTTGTCAGAGAACTTTGGCAAAGTTATCTGTGGTACCCATGAGCTAATGTTGCGTGTGGGAAGTGGGTGATTGAACAGTAAGATTCATGTGCTTTCTACTTCACCAGAAATCTTCGACAGAATGCCCATAATTTCCGCAAAGCTGAGTGTGTGCGTGACAGGTGCTGACAAGGCTGGAAAAGTAGGTGCCTCTTCGATTTCTGAAATCGGCCCTCGTAGTCTCTGAGCAGCCCAGCTTTTAAGAAAGCAAGCGCCTTTTCGATTTCTGAGATCGGCCTTCGTGGTCTTTGAGCAGCCTAGCTTTTGAGAAAGCAAACGCCTCTTCGATTTCTAAGATCGACCCTCGTGGTCTCTGAGCAGCCCAACTTTTGAGAAAGCAAACGCCTCTTCGATTTCTGAGCAGGCGCCTCTTCGATTTCTGAAGCTCCGTCGAGTGCAGATTTTTATAGAGGCTGACATTAAGTTCCAAAGCACACTTAAATCTCCACCAGTAGAAGCTCCATTCTTGCGCTTCTAAGATCTTGATTTGTCTGACCTCTTCTCTATTCAACACCTTTGAAAATGTCTGGCCCCTCCGACCGTCGTTTTGACTTGAACCTTGTTGAAGAGGCAGCCACGTCTTCTCCAGACAACATATGACGCCCATCCTTCGTCTCCCCTACTGGTCCTCTTACCGTTGGGGATTCCGTGATGAAGAATGATGACCGCTGCAGTGGTGGCCAGAAACCTTCTCATTCCCAAAGATAACAGACTACTTTCCAAACGGTCTGATAAGTTGGTTGTTAAGGATTCTCTGGCTCTCAGTGTTCAGTGTGCAGGTTCTGTGTCTAATATGACCCAACGCCTATTTGCTCGAACCCGCCAAGTTGAATCATTGGCGGCTGAAGTGATGAGTCTCAAACAGGACATTAGAGGGCTCAAGCATGAGAATAAACAGTTGCACCGGCTCGCACATGACTATGCTACAAACATGAAGAGGAAGCTTGACCAGATGAAGGAATCTGATGGTCAGGTTTTACTTGATCATCAGAGATTTGTGGGTTTGTTCCAAAGACATTTATTGCCTTCGTCTTCTGGGGCTGTACCGCATAATGAAACTCCAAATGATCAACCTCTGATGCCTCATCCTTCTAGGGTTCTGTCCAGTACTGAGGCTCCGAATGATCCCCCTCTGGTGCCTTCTCTTTCTGGGGCTCTACCGACTGCTGAGACTTCTCTTAAGCAACCTTTGTGAAGGCTCCCTCATGTTTGTTTATTTTGACTCATGTATATGTACATATTTGTAACTTATCGGAGATATCAATAAATAAGCTTTCCTTCATTTCAATGTATTGTGTTAAATACACCAAAACCTTCTTCGCTAAGTTCTTTGAATTTTCTTTTGTTGAAGCTTGTATGTTGAAGCTTTGTGAGTGGAGCATGTAGGTTAAGGTAGTGTTCCCTTAATTTCCCGAGGGAGGAAAACTTCTCGGTTGGAGACTTGGAAAATCCAAGTCACTGAGTGGGATCGGCTATATGAATCTTAGAACGCCATTATGCTCGGTCATGTGTCATGTCCTCCGTTAGATCCAAGTACTCTAAGTCTTTTCTTAGAGTCTCTTCCAAAGTTTTCCTAGGTCTTCCTCTACCCCTTCGGCCCTGAACCTCTGTCTCATAGTCGCATCTTCTAATCGGAGCGTCAGTAGGCTTTTTTTGCACATGTCCAAACCACCGTAACCGATTTTCTCTCATCTTTCCTTCAATTTCGGCTACTCCTACTTTACCCCGGATATCCTCATTCCTAATCTTATCCTTTCTCGTGTGCCCACACATCCAACGAAGCATCCTCATCTCCGCTACACCCATTTTGTGTACGTGTTGATGCTTCACCGCCCAACATTCTGTGCCATACAGCATCGCCGGCCTTATTGCCGTCCTATAAAATTTTCCCTTGAGCTTCAGTGGCATACGACGGTCACACAACACGCCGGATGCACTCTTCCACTTCATCCATCCAGCTTGTATTCTATGGTTAAGATCTCCATCTAATTCTCCGTTCTTTTGCAAGATAGATCCTAGGTAACGAAAACGGTCGCTCTTTGGTATTTCTTGATCTCCGATCCTCACCCCTAACTCATTTTGGTCTCCATTTGCACTGAACTTGCACTCTATATATTCTGTCTTTGCTCGGCTTAGGCGAAGACCTTTAGATTCCAACACTTCTCTCCAAAGGTTAAGCTTTGCATTTACCCCTTTCTGAGTTTCATCTATCAACACTATATCGTCTGCGAAAAGCATACACCAAGGAATATCATCTTGAATATGTCATGTTAACTCATCCATTACCAACGCAAAAAGGTGAGGACTTAAGGATGAGCCTTGATGTAATCCTACAGTTATGGGAAAGCTTTCAGTTTGTCCTCATGAGTTCTTACGGCAGTCTTTGCTCCTTCATACATATCCTTTATAGCTTGGATATATGCTACTCGTACTCCTTTCTTCTCTAGAATCCTCCAAAGAATGTCTCTTGGGACTCTATCATACGCTTTTTCCAAATCTATAAAGACCATGTGTAAATCCTTTTTCCCATCTCTATATCTTTCCATCAATCTTCGTAAGAGATAAGATTGCCTCCATGGTTGAGCGCCCTGGCATGAACCCGAATTGGTTGTCCGAAACCCGTGTCTCTTGCCTCAATCTATGCTCAATGACTCTCTCCCAGAGCTTCATTGTATGACTCATTAGCTTAATACCCCTATAGTTCATGCAATTTTGTACGTCGCCCTTATTCTTGTAGATAGGCACCAAAGTGCTCGTTCGCGCCACTCATTTGGCATCTTCTTCGTTTTCAAAATCCTATTGAAAAGGTCAGTGAGCCATGTTTATACCTGTCTCTCCCAAAACTTTCCACACTTCGATTGGTATATCGTCTGGGCCTACTGCTTTTCTATGCTTCATCTTCTTCAAAGCTACAACCACTTCTTCCTTCCGGATTCGACGATAAAAAGAGTAGTTTCTACACTCTTCTGAGTTACTCAACTCCCCTAAAGAAGCACTCCTTTCATGTCCTTCATTGAAAAGATTATGAAAATAACCTCTCAATCTGTCTTTAACCGTGTTCTCTGTAACAAGAACCTTTCCATCCTCATCCTTGATGCACCTCACTTGGTTTAGGTCCCTTGTCTTCTTTTCCCTTGCTCTAGCTAGTTTATAGATATCCAACTCTCCTTCTTTGGTATCTAGTCGCTTATACATATCGTCATAAGTCGCTAACTTAGCTTCTCTCACAGCTTTCTTCGCCTCTTGCTTCGCTTTTCTATACATTTCCCCATTTTCATCGGTCCTATCCTTGTATAAGGTTTTACAACATTCCTTCTTAGCCTTCACCTTTGTTGTACCTCCTCATTCCACCACCAAGATTCCTTTTGGTGTGGGGCAAAGCCATTGGACTCTCCTAATATCTCTTTTGCTACTTTTCAGATACAACTAGCCATGAATAATATCAAAACTCTCACCCGTTTTTCTCCCCGTTTTTCTCTCACCCTCCATTTCTGCAAATCACCTACCTCCCTCTCTCCCTATGTACTCCCTACTTCTCTCATAATATCAAAACTTTCAAACCCAATTCAATGCCTCATTACCTAGTTTTTTTTTTGTATATCTTTTTCAACTAAACCCTAAACAATCTACTGCTGCAAGCAACATAACGTCCACTTTGCAGATTTTTGTGGAACCACTTTGCAGGTTTTGTGGAACCACTTTAAAAATTCAAATCTTTAAGCACCTGAGTACTGGAAATTCAAAACTTCAATAGGCATCCCTCCTTACCACAGATATGTAGTTTTAAAAATAAAACCAAAAGGATTAATTCCAATTAACATATAACTTTAAAACTACCATAGTAATATTGATTAATTAAACTACTTTTTAAATATGCCCAGCAAGGTAACTTTTGGGTTTGACAAAAATTTTAAACCTACGAAGGGATATATCAAAATCAATTTGTAAGTATGACAAAAGTCCCTATGACAGTATCAAAGCAACTATAATCATAAAGAAGTTGAGAGATTACTGTCTGATTATCAAAACCACTACTGGATTTATGCAGACACAAAATCTCACAATATTATTACCACGACCTTATGCATAACAGGAACAACACTATAATCATTTGCCTAACAGACATTAACTCTTCTACAACAGCAAGTTTAACAACCAACCAACCTTTGAACAAAGAACACACAGACAGAAAGAAGCGGGATAGATAAGGGGCAAAGCAATTTTCTTACTTCTACATCAAAGCAAAAGAACAACCATTATATAGGTATGCCATTATCATCTGAAGAACAAATCCAATTGGCAGCTTTTAGGTACCTACAATTATAAGCAAAGTTTGGAATTCACAAAAAATACTGGGCAAATACTAAGGCTACCATTTGAAAAAGCTAAACAACAACAAACTTTGACATATTAACTACAACTAAATTCAGATGACATTCGATATATGAAGACAATCTGATAAATCAAAGGCTCTAAAATCAATACCATATTTCATGTGCCTTTTATTGATAGTGAACCCAACAGTAGAATCAGGACAAAAATTTGATTTAAAACCTTGCTATCTTTGTCCTTGTAAATATGATATTTTGGCATCAACAATATATCACGAAAAAAAAAAACCAAATATATATGAACTCAAAGAAAATATAGAACGAAAATAAAAAAGCAAATTATGAACATTTAGAAGCTAATTTCATTAGCAATTAAAGCAACCAAGCTCTCTCAACATCAAGATTCAGAACCCCCCAGGAACCCAAAAATTTGATGAAAACTTTTCTAATCACTCAATTGGATTAGACAAAATCATAAAAAAAAATTCTAAAGCCCAATTATATTAAATCACAAATTTGAAGCAGAATTTGACATGCAATAAGTCAATAAGATTGGAATCACTTCAGACTAACCTCGATGGCAGGGCCTCCGGAATCGCCCGATCCGAACCAACCAAAAAAAATCTATTAACTTGAACTTCAACCTAACTATAAAGAGGAGCTTTATAACATCAACATGCCAAAACAACCAAGCCCAACAAATTAACAAACTAATTTTTCTTAATCAATAATAGCATACATATTATCAAATTATCAATCAATAATTCACATATCGTTAAGGGTTAAACAAATATATGAAGACTGGAAATTTACTCACACATCTAATATATCCTTGCATTTCTATTTCAATTTAGAATACGTGGAAATCACATCAACAAATCAAAGCCCTAAATTTTTATCATCCTGAACTGGAAAAATCTGTAAAATCTAAAATTTTTGACTAAAAATGCTAACTTAGGAATAGGAGGAAATTTGCAAATTAGCTAAACAATGCTATTATTTATCCAATCAAAGGCAAATTGGAGTGGTGCAGAACTAACACTACAAAATTCGTTAAACTAAACAATGGGTAGAATGTTTATAAGATTTATATTTTATACAAAAATTAATCTTCTAAAAAAGCAAAAAACACAATTTTTTTGTTAAGCAATCGCATGGATTATAAATGCCAAAGATTAGATGATGGTAGGCGTCAGATTACCTCTTTAGCCGAAGATGCGAAACCCCTCATTGCCGACATGGCGGGGAGGATCTTCTGCCCCAAAATCTGAACCAACACAAAGATTAGGCAGTAAATCACATAATAATAAATTAATCAAGTGTTTTATATAATGAAGGTTCATAAATTGCAGAAGTAGAGGGTGTACCATAACTGATGAGCTTCCAACTCCCACTTTTTGCCTTAAAATTCCCAACATCTTTGATTCTTTCACACAAAATCACACTGAACGCAAACAGAAATCAGAGACAAAATACGATCTAAGAACTGAAAATTTCAGTGAAAGCACCGAGAGAGATGAGGAGGAATAACAAATGATTTACTGGAAATATGGAAAAGAAAAAAAACCAGATCAAAATTCGGACAGAAATAAACAATACGAATTAGGGGATTTGGGAGGGGGGACGAACCTGTTTGGCGGATTGGAGCGGGGATCAGATCGACGATGCGATGTGTAAAAAATGAGCGTTGAGGGAGCGGAGCAGCAGCAGCCAACACTTTCATGCAGAACTTACTTGGAAAACCCAGATCAAACCAACCTTTAAGTTTCAAGGTTTTTACCCTGGAATCCAGGCAAAACCAGATTAGATTCTAAATGGGTTTATCAAAAATAATAATTTGATCAGAAATGCTTATTCCTGTAGTGGGTGTACATCTGGTACTGCGTATTCTTGTAAATTGTCGTTGCAATAATACAATATTACTCAAAATGATGCAGTGGTGGGTGTACCGTGTACGGATTAAGGAGGGTTTTAGGTGAATGTGATCAGCCTACCCATGTGTCTAATAAATTAAAATAATAAAATGGTATGTGATGTGATATGTTTTAGGTCAATATAATAATAAAATATTAAACAATGAGCTGTAAAGGAAGATATTGCTCTTAGGTCATCTTCAACCAAAGGTTGACTAAAGGGCTCGTTTTAACCTTCTGATCCTTTAAGATATTAATATTTTAATAAACAATACATGATCATATTTGCCTTCATCTCCAACCAAGAGTCAAAGGGCCAAAGAGCCCGTTTTAACCCTGTCATAAAAAACCATATCCAACAGAGGGTCAAAGGGTTATAGTATGGAATGTGAAGAATTGAAATAAAATAAGGTAAGATAGTATGAAATGATGCAGAAAAAATTAGAAATTCAAAAAATAAATAAATAAACGTCCAAAAAAAATGGCATGTTGAAAAAAAATACAAAAATGGGCTGGGACCAAAAAGTGACAATTTCCCTTGGCCTGAAAGCCCTAAACTAGGCTGAAAGAACCAAAAAAAAAAGAGCAGAAACTGGGTTGGGCAGCAAGTGGAAAAGAAAAAAAATAAAAAAATAAAACAAAATGGGCTAGCCAGCGGGTTGGCTGGCTGAAGATGGCCAGCCAGTTGGCCATTTGGCCCATTCAGATTTCGTGGGGCCCACGAGCCCTCTGGCTTAGCCCTCGGTTAGAGACGATTTTCGGGTTATTTCGGCTTGGACCCTTCGGTTAGAAATGACCTTATATTCGGAGTAGGATATTCTCCCCTCTTTTTTTCCCTCCTCTTCCCTCTCCCTATTTGAACAGTCACGGTTAATCGCGTCAACATCTTATATTAATTTTTTATAGAAAGAGAAAGACAAAATGAAAAATGTGAAACGAGGGAACGAAATACGATGGAAAGATGAGGGAAGAGAATCCTAATCCCTTATCTTCTTCGTGAGTTTTTTCAGACAGTGAGATAGTGAGTATATATTACACTCTGTATTTGTACCCTGCCATGAATGATTAAAGTTTCACTTGGTCAGGAATTATTAAAGATACAGCAATTACCCTTCTAAGGTGAAATCAAGCCCAAATCTGATGAGGTTCTTATAAATAAGGTGAAATCAAGGGCCAATCTGTCCCATATCCTATGGACAAAATTACCCTTCTAAGTTCTAATAATTACCATTCCAACCCAGCCCAAATCTAATGGGTTTCTTGTAAATAAGGTGAAATTGAGAAGGAAAAATTTAACTGTAGCTGAATGAACAGTAAATCATTCCTCAATTTTAGAATAGATAGCTAGAAAGTGTAGCTCGGGCGTTGCTGTGGGAAATGTGATTCACGCATTACTGTGGCATTGGAAATTGTATGACATATTTTGATGCACTAAGTTAGAAAACGACTACATGTGCAAACAATGCAAATAACTAAATTAGACACAAGCCAACTAATTTCAATTTTAACCAAATCAGAAAAACAATCACAGTCGAACTAATCTCTACTTCCCATATGAAGTAGAAGATGTCCCCTGTTTTGCATCTGTGAACCGCGCGGTTTTCACCCTCTACGGACAAAAAGATGAAAGTAAAATTGTTTAACAACATTATAAAAATTATGCATACAATATTATATATGTATTTGCACATAAAGTATAAAGATTTACTAACAGATTCGAGGTTAAATTTAACAAAATAAGTAATTATGAATGGAAATCAAACTATATCATAGTTGTTAAAAAATACTTTTGGCTAAATCTTACAAATAGAATGAAAATGTCTTTTACCAACTGAATGATGCATAAAATCGTTAATTTCAAAATAAACCAACTTTAAAAAATCCTAACACGATATGACATTGTAAAAAACCTTAAACCCGTTACTGGAACAAACCTCAAAATGGCCACTAATTGTTCTGGATGGGACACACCAATTTTTACCATGAGAAAAAAGCAACTCCAAACCCAAATTAAGCATTTGATAAATCGTATTTACTGAAGAGAATTTAATTTTTTTTTGAAGGGGAAGCTTACCAGGGTTAGCAAAGTTAAATTCGAAAGTGGAAGAATATTGACATAAACATAGTAGTGGGATTGATGATGGATTCAGTATGTTATTTTGTATCAATTCAAATGGATGAAAACTATTAAAGGAGCTATAGGTCACAGTTTGGAGTATGCAAAAGTACTACTTCAAATTTTCAAGTTTGGAGTATGCAAAAGTACTACTTCAAATTTTCAAGATGCTCAGTAGATCTCTAAATTTCAAAAAGTGTACAAATTGAAACTAATAGAGCTATTTCTAACTTTCCAAAAGTATTTAAATTGAAACTAATAGATCTTTCTTCTGTATACTGATAATTTAAGAATTGAAACTAATTTAACTCTTTTGGATATTGATACTTTAATATTTGCTACAAAAAATGAATCCATAACTTTCTTAGAGCACGAAATTGGAGCTAACATAAAAAAAAGAAAATGTATCAAATTAACAATATGCAATCAATTAACAATTTCATAACAAAACAACTAAAAAGTCAGACCCAGGGAACACATATTTTATTCGCTTTTGAATACCAATTAAGAAAAAATCTTATGATAAAATTCAAAACCCACATAAACAAAAAATTCTATTAAACTGAAATCTCCCTAGGAATAGAGCATGCTTACAGAAACTTTCCTTTATGTTGAGATTGATTCCGGCAGTTAATGAAGTTGCAGTGTTTTCTTTGTTTTGGGAGCCATTCATACCTGAAGAAACATTTAAGTATCAAATTCCTTCACAAAATGAGTTTTCACATAATCTGAAAAAGGTCTTTTAATCACAATCTTAAGAAACAGAACAACCAATATATACACAATGACAAAGCTTAATCGAATGAAAAATGTAACCACAGTAGACCAAACAAATGTAACCTTTTGAATAAAGTATTTTTAAATCATTCGCTGCAAAAGCAGGAAAAACAGATGGCAAACACAGTTAGTTTTGGATTAGGTTTAGAATATAATTCAAAATCTCATCTGTAACCTTGTTTCCATCTTGATCAGCGGCAGTTAAAACCGATTTGAAAACCTAATCACATAATCAGTTTCTAGCTCGAACAAAAAAGGACAGTTTTTACAGCGATAAAAAAGTCCGTAATAAAAGGATTTTTACCATCCATGAACCAGCCACTATCCGAAGATGTGTATGCTTTCGTAACAATAAGGTTGAGATCAGTAAGTACTTCTACAACTTCCAGAAGTATTCCATGTTTGTTTGCTCTGTTATTATTTACAATCCTAAGAGAAACAATATTGGATGAAAGATGTGTAAGTTTGAACAAGGGAGATGGTAAATAGTTGAAGTGATTTTGAGGAATTTAAGGTATGATTTATGCATATAGCTTGGTAGGTTCATTCTCCGCATGAGTTTCTCATACTCATCATCCATGTCATGCGAAAAGCTTATACTAACTTTTGCAGAAAGTCACCTAAAAAAATGAAAAATAAAATTAGACAAAAGGTTAAAGAGAACAAAAAAACTAATTGGAGAGATGAACAGAACCATTGTAACCAATCGGAAAATGACTGTTAAATGTCACTCAAAAAAAAAAAAAAAAAAAAGAAGAGAGAGAGAGAGAGAGAGAGAGAGAGAGAGAGAGAGAGAGAGAGAGAGAGAGAGAGAGAGAAATTTCAATTGGGATAAAAATCCCAACTTTCTCAGAGAACTATCTCATAACATACAAATACCATTGTTTAGGAGTTAGTTGTAATTGCAAAATTTAATTGGAAGCTATACAGAGAAATGTATAATATTTGAATACGGACATACCATTCTGAATATTGTGTGAAATCTACTACTCCAAGCATTCATATTTGTTCTCCAAAGTGCCTATTAACTGTAAGAAACATTTTTGCAGGAGTATGTAAGAATGAACATTCAAGTAAAAAAGTATAGTGAAAAATCATTTGTAAATCGACACAAACACATGTGGAGGTAGAAAAAAGATTAGGATACCGTACACTTTGCGTTGTTGCATGTTAAAAAGTGTAATTGCTATAAAAAGCAGCAGGAGTCTGTCAGTGACTTTGAAGGTGTTTTATGTGTTTCTTTGAAAAACATGTTTGACCCTTACTTATAAAATTTCTATTATGGTCATGAAAGGTTTTTTCAAAACAATTTGTTGATTGATCCAGTGTGTTAACAACGTTTTCCGCTTTTTATCCCTTGTTGATTGAAAAAGACTTAAAAACTAATGAAAAATGATTTCGTTAAAGTAAATAGTACCATAATTGTAACGAGAGGACTGTAAAATGGGATGCGTGGGATTGGTCATCCACACATTGAATGGCTTATAATATTACCACATTTTTGGATTTCTAAGCAAGAAAAATTAAAATATGATTTTTTTCTTAAAAAATAGTGGGCCTCCTGCACAATACTCTCCTGCAGCGTTCCTCCCTCCTTCCTTCACCACGCAACAACAATAAAATTCCCAATAACTAAATAAAGCAACATCTCCCCAAAACAACCGAAAACCCATCACTCTCCCGCCAAATCTCTCTGTCGCCGACTCCATCCCCAAACCAGCCCAAAACTCATCATCACTCCCGACTCTATGTCATCTCACCGAATTTCACATGGCTCAGCCGCCCTTCCCCCAATTTCAAACCCTCAGACACACATATACATTACCTTCAATCTGTGTTGTTCGATTTTGTTGATGGGGATCCAGGTCGAAGATCCGAGACCAAAATTTTTGGTGCCCGTTTTCGCTGGAAACCATGGCTCATCTGGCGAGCCACATCCAAAACTACGAGGTCCGATTCCTCCCCGAGTTCTTTGACTCTCGCTCAAATTGGACGGATTTTCGAGTGGAACTGTTCGCCATGGCCTGCAGCAACGCCGCGGCCGAGTTGCTTGGGGAGGCTGAGTTGGACGCATCACAAAAGAGAAAGAAAGAGAGATGGCTTTCTCCATTCTATTTCTCCAGGACGGCTTGCTGGCGATAGAATGGGTGTTGTCCCTGCGTCAGGATTTTCCTTTAGTGCACGACAGATTTGGAAAGTAATCAAAGAGAACAAGGACTTGGATCTTCCCGCTCACAAGGTTTGTTAGTTTATTTTCTTCCCATTGATAATTTGTGATCTTCACTTCTCATATGCATATAATAAATACACATACTGTAATTTAATTAGGTTATGGTTGCTACGGTTCGGTGTGAAGAGATTGCCAACCAGAAATTCAAACAGTTGGTCCAGGATGAGGTATGTGGTCATTTATCTCCACATATGAGGTAGTGCTCTGATAATGTATCAAAGTCTTGGTTATTCAAATTTCTTAATGCAAATACCCATTATTTTTCAGAAAAAACTTTCTTTGTCTTTAAGCGGTCCTGTAGAGGCTCTACTGGAAACTGGTGCAAAAGACACCTGGGCTTCGATACGAAAACTACTTAATCGTGAGACCAAAGTTGCAGTATCGGAGTTCTCAACTGCAGTTGCCAATTTTGAGTTGGACAATGAAACGGTTGTCAAAATGAAGCAGCATTTGAAGGATTATGCAAGAAATTGGTGGAGAAAAAAGCAAGAGAAGAGGCTGGGAAAATTATGATCCACATGAAGGATCGGTAGGAACTTTTTAAAAATCTTCTTTTCTTTTTCACCTTGTTATTTTGGTTGCTGATCACTTCTGTTGTCATTTCTCAGGTTTGCCGCAGTCTTCAATTATGACAGCGATTCAATGCCTAGGGTTTGGACTGGGAACGAAGACATTAGAAGTATTACCAAGGATGCACGAACTGCGGTAATCATTGGGAACTTTTGTGGAAGTACATGTTATCTATCTTTGTGACTTAAAGTGATGTTTTAGTTGTTTGATCATCTCTTTCTTGCAGTCTCTGAAGCTTTTGTTGACCATGGCTGCCATTCGCTTGGATGAGAAGCCAGATAATATTGAAAATGTCCTAGTTTCTTCTCTGGTGGACAGGACTGTTACTGTTTCATCTTCACAAAATAGGAAACTAGGACCTCCTACAGATCCTCTTGCCTCAAGCTCTTGGGAAGAGGTACCATTTATTTATGGGTTTGGTTTTTGTGTAAAATTTTTCTATGATGAAACTCCCTTCTTATTAAGGTTAACTCTAAACTAGGTTTCTTCAAAGGATACCTTAATTACCCCAGTACAGTGCAAGTCATTGTCAAGGCAGTTCAAAGCAGAGACTGAATATAGTGTCACTCAAGCTATTTCGGCACAGGTATACTTAAGTTTAACTTCAGTAGTCTAATTGTTTTTATATCGTTTAATTAGAGTTGCATCTCGAATAAATGGATTTTGTCTTTTATAAAAGGGTAGAGGTCGCACTTGGTGCGATGGCAAGTGCCTTCGCCCATGAGCGGTAGGTCTCGGGTTCGAGACTTGGGAGCAGCCTCTCCATAAAATGGGGGTAAGGCTAGCCGACATTCACCTCTCCCAGACCCTGCGTAAAGCGGGAGCCTTGTGCACTGGGTACGACCTTTTTTTTTTTTGTCTTTTATAAAAGGGTAAACTGCCAATTTAGTCCCTGAATTATCACCTTAGTGAAAATTAGGTCCCTAAACTATTTTTTCAGAAAAATTAGTCCCTGAATTATAAAAATCTGCCAATTACATCCCTAATGTTATATTCGAAGCTACTATATTCAATTTTCCATCAATTTAAGTCACGTTACTTGCATGTGATACACATTGAAGGCTAGATTGGTAGTTTTTCATAAAGAAATAGTGTATGGAGTTAACTTTGGAGGAGAAATTGGTAGTTTTTCATAAAGAAATAGTGTAAGTTAACTTTTAAGGGTAAATTAGACATTAAATTCGCAACATATATGAAATGTTAAGCATTTATAAACAAGAAATGATGGTATTACATTCTAAAGTGTGTCAAGTGACTTAATTTGACGAAAAATTAGATAAAATAGCTTTGAATATAATAATAGGGATGAAATTAGCAATTTCTAATGAATTTAGGGACTTATTTTATTGAAAAAATAATTCAAGGACCTAATTTTCACTGAGGTGATAGTTCAGGGACTAAATTGGCACTTCACCCTTTATAAAATGTTCTTTAAAGATATTGTTATGAAAATATGAATATTGGAACATGTTCCTGCAAAAGTAATGAACAACTGGTGGGAGGAACGTGGAAATAGGACGCATGCATTGTCCTCGGATGACATTTTGGGCGGGAGTTCTTATGTAAATTGGATTTAGTTTAGTAGTGAAACCAAACATATGGAAACATTTCATATTGAAAATCGCGCTGATTCTTGACTTGGGAATGGTTTAGTCAGATAGGACCGACTTATAATCAAGTTCAGTGTATTCTTGTTTTTTCTACAAAGAAAAATCCTAGTCCTATTACTATTTTTGTAACGAGCTCCCTATCTTTATGCTTATAGCTCTGCTCTATCATGATGTTGTTTGCTTTTGTACTTTCAGGAGGCTCACAAGCGGAGTAACAACTGGTTACCTCCTCCATGGGCTATAATGGCGATGATCGTTCTTGGTTTTAACGAATTTATGATGCTTTTAAAGTAATTACTTTCGTTCTTTTTTGTTTCCTTTTGCGAGTTTTAGGTTTTGGACACTTTTAAGTGTCCAGACGCTAATGTCTTGCACATATGTTAATCACTGTGCCTTTTTTCTTCAAATGAAACAGGAACCCTCTCTACCTCATGGTTCTATTTGTTGCATTTTTACTTTCAAAGGCCTTATGGGTACAGATGGACATTACAGGACAGTTCCAGCATGACGCTGTAAGTATAACAATAACAACAACAACAAAGCCTTTTCCCACTAAGTGGGGTCGGCTATATGAATCCTAGAACGCCATTGCGCTCGGTTTTGTGTCATGTCCTCCGTTAGATCCAAGTACTCTAAGCCTTTTCTTAGAGTCTCTTCCAAAGTTTTCCTAGGTCTTCCTCTACCCCTTCGGCCCTGAACCTCTGTCCCGTAGTCACATCTTCGAACCGGAGCGTCAGTCGGCCTTCTTTGCACATGTCCAAATCACCGGAACCGATTTTCTCTCATCTTTCCTTCAATTTCGGCTACTCTTACTTTACCTCGGATATCCTCATTCTCAATCTTATCCTTTCTCGTGTGCCCACACATCCCACGAAGCATCCTCATCTCCGCTACACCCATTTTGTGTACGTGTTGATGTTTCACCGCCCAACATTCTATGCCATACAACATCGCTAGCCTTATTGCCGTCCTATAAAATTTTCCCTTGAGCTTCAGTGGCCTACGACGGTCACACAACACGCCGGATGCACTCTTACACTTCATCCATCCAGCTCGTATTCTATGGTTGAGATCTCCATCTAATTCTCCGTTCTCTTGCAAGATAGATCCTAGGTAGCGAAAACGGTCGCTTTTGTGATCTTCGCTAGATTGCTCCGGTCATTAGTGTGGATAAGTATATAAATGGATAGAGATAGGAAAGCAAACACAAGATGTACGTGGTTCACCCAGATTGGCTACGTCCACGGAATAGAAGAGTTCTCATTAATTGTGAAGGGTTTATACAAGTACATAGGTTCAAGCTCTCCTTTAGTGAGTACCAGTGAATGATTTAGTACAAATGACATTAGAGTACAAATGACATTAGGAAATATTGTGGGAGAATGATCTCGTAATCACGAAACTTCTAAGTATCGGAGTGTGGTATCATCTTGACTTGCCTTATCTGTCTCATAGGTAGATGTGGCAGCTTCTCTGGAAGTACTCTTCCTCCATCCAGGGGTAGTATCTTTAACTGGTGGAGATGCACAAGGTAATGTATCAATTTCACTTGAAGCTTACTTGTAGTTTCAGGCTTGGTCCAGCGCGATACAAACCATGTAGTAGGAGTCCCCCAAGTCGCCGAGCTAGGGGATCTGCTGAAAGAGGTGACAGACAAGGTAAGCAATCAGAGCTCTGGCTGATTGTTCACCTTCTCCCCATCTTGCAGCAGCATGAAGGATAAAGAGAAGAAAAATGAGAAGAGATGATATGGGATACTTTTGCTTTTGAAGAAGTAACTTTCCACAGGCTTATTCTTGAACTGAACTGGAGGGTTTTCTGGTTTCCTCCAGAGTATAAGGCCGACTGAAGAATTTGAGGGTCAAAACAAGTCCATCAAATCTAGAGTACGTTCGACCCTGCTGATATGGGATACTTTTGCTTTTGACAGAGTAATGGATGTATCGGCACGTGTGCTGTTACGCTTGTCTCCACATGCTTCCTTGTATCCTTCGCACTTGCCCTATCTGTTCCTCAAGCAGATGCGGTATCTTCCCTGGAAACATAAGATGTTGAAGATGAGTACTCGAGAGCAATGACAGGTAAGTAATCAGGTAAGGGGTTCCAGGCAGTCAGTTCCTGGCTGGAAGCTTGATTTCAAGTGCTGACTGATTGCTCTCTTTCTCCTTGTCTTGCAGGTAAAAACAAGGCCAAAGGAAAAGATAGGGAAAAAGCATGATATGGGATACTCTTGCTTTTAACCCTGATGATATGAGATATTCTTGCTCTAGTATAGCTTGTTTGCAGAGGTATTATCGGGGGGAAAGAAAGCTGAATATTTCGAAAGATTTCGTTGGGAGTGCCCTCTCAGATATGAGGAAGGGTTGAGCATTTTTGCAGGTCTGCCTGTTCGTTAGGGATGGAGGTCGACATATATAGGAGTCTCCCTAACAACAAGTAGTAATGCTATTCCTTTACCCTGCTTGGTCATAGCACGGTAATGGGAGCTGCCAGCTTCACATGTTTTAACTCTGTCAGAGGACTTTGAAAAAGTGGTATGTGGTATCTGGCTCTCGAGATTCGGAGAACGACGCTTCTTCGATTTTTGAGAAAGCAATCATGCTGGGGGTCTGGCTCTCGAGATTCGGGGAGCAGTGTCTCTTCGATTTTTGAGAAAGTAATCATGTTGGGAGTCTGGCTCTCGAGATTCGGAGGGCGGTGCCTTTTCGATTTTGGAGTAAGCAATCTTGTTGGGAGTGTTTTCTCGGATGTGAGTAAAGGTTGGGCATGTTTGCTAGTCTACCTTGCCACGAAGCACGGAGGTTGACACACAGGGACTTTCCAATTATCCAGCAGTGGTACTGTTCCTTTACCCTTGTGGGTAATAATATGGTAGCTAGACCTTCAAAATTTATGGGTCTAAACTTTGTTAGTGCTGTTTCTTTGCTATTCTTTTACCCTTCTTGGTCAGAGCGATGTAGTGGGAGCTGCAAGCTTCACGTGCTCAACTTTGGCAGAGAACTTTGGCAAAGTTATCTGTGGTACCCATGAGCTATTGTTGCGTGTGGGAAGTGGGTGATTGGACAGTAAGATTCATGTGTTTTCTACTTCCCCAGAAAATCTTCGACAGAATACCCATAATTTCCGCAAAGCTGAGTGTGCGTGTGACAGGTGCTGACAAGGCTGGAAAAGTAGGTGCCTCCTCGATTTCTGAGATCGGCCCTCGTGGTCTCTGAGGAGCCCAACTTTTGAGAAAGCGAGCGCCTCTTCGATTTCTGAGATCGGCTTTCGTGGTCTTTGAGCAGCCCAACTTTTGAGAAAGCAAACACCTCTTCGATTTATGAGATCAACCCTCGTGGTCTCTAAGCAGCCCAGTTTTTGAGAAAGCAAACGCCTCTTCGATTTCTGAGCAGGCGCCTCTTCGATGTCTGAAGCTCCGTCGAGTGCAGCTTTTTATAGGGGCTGGCATTAAGTTCCAAAGCACACTTGAATCTCCACCAGTAGAAGCTCCATTCTTGCACTTCTAAGATCTTGATTTGTCCGACCTCTTCTCTCTTCAACACCTTTGAAAATGTCTGGCCCCTCCGACCGTCGTTTTGACTTGAACCTTGTTGAAGAGGCAGCCCCGCCTTCTCCAGACAACATATGGCGCCCATCCTTCGTTTCCCCTACTGGTCCTCTTACCGTTGGGGATTCCGTGATGAAGAATGATATGATCGCTGCGGTGGTGGCCAGGAACCTTCTCACTCCCAAAGATAACAGACTACTTTCCAAACGGTCTGATGAGTTAGCTGTTAAGGATTCGCTGGCTCTCAGTGTTCAGTGTGCAGGTTCTGTGTCTAATATGGCCCAACGCCTATTTGCTCGAACCCGCCAAGTTGAATCATTGGCGGCCGAAGTGATGAGTCTCAAACAGGAGATTAGAGGGCTCAAGCATGAGAATAAACAGTTGCACCGGCTCGCACATGACTATGCTACAAACATGAAGAGGAAGCTTGACCAGATGAAGGAAACTGATGGTCAGGGTTTTACTTGATCATCAGAGATTTGTGGGTTTGTTCCAGAGGCATTTATTGCCTTCGTCTTCTGGGGCTGTACCGCGTAATGAAGCTCCAAATGATCAACCTCTGATGCCTCCTCCTTCTAGGGTTCTGTCCAGTACTGAGGCTCCGAATGATCCCCCTCCGATGCCTTCTCTTTCTGGGGCTCTACCGACTGCTGAGACTTCTCCTAAGCAACCTTTGTGAAGGCTCCATCTTGTTTGTTTATTTTGACTCATGTATATGTACATATTTGTAGCTTATCGGGGATATCAATAAATAAGCTTTCCTTCATTTCAACGTATTGTGTTAAATACACCAAAGCCTTCTTCGCTAAGTTCTTTGAATTTTTCTTTTGTTGAAGCTTGTATGTTGAAGCTTTCTGAGTGGAGCATGTAGGTTGGGGTAGTGTTCCCTTAATTTTCCGAGTGAGGAAAACTTCTCGGTTGGAGACTTGGAAAATCCAAGTCACTGAGTGGGATCGGCTATATGAATCTTAGAACGCCATTGTGCTCGGTCCTGTGTCATGTCCTTCGTTAGATCCAAGTACTCTAAGTCTTTTCTTAGAGTCTCTTCCAAAGTTTTCCTAGGTCTTCCTCTACCCCTTCGGCCCTGAACCTCTGTCCCATAGTCGCATCTTCTAATCGGAGCGTCAGTAGGCCTTCTTTGCACATGTCCAAACCATCGTAACCGATTTTCTCTCATCTTTCCTTCAATTTCGGCTACTCCTACTTTACCCCGGATATCCTCATTCCTAATCTTATCCTTTCTCGTGTGCCCACACATCCAACGGAGCATCCTCATCTCCGCTACACCCTCTCCAACAAATAGAACCACTAAGAAAACTCGCAGAAGAAGCTCAGGGGAATCAAACACCAGAAGCACAAAGGCGGCCAGTTTCTCTTTCTTCTCAGAGTTATAGAAGTGAAACACCTCAGCCAAATCCAGTAACAAGCTCATTCACGGAGTCCTCAGTGTCATCCAATATCTCGTCATCAGATACCGGCATGGAATACTCAAGCCCTCCTTTAAGACAAAGGCGAACGGCAAACGTTGAGGAAGTTGAATCTTCATGATGTATGATCTCTGTTGTTTGTACCGTGTGCAACAGATTAAGGTCACTACACATTTGTGCGATAGTTTTCTTTCTTTTTTATTTTGTTTCTTGTTTGTAGTTATTGAAAATTTGAAATAAAAATAAACTGGGTTTGCTCAGTGCCTGGTTTTACAAATTATAGGTTAGTTGTGATGTTTCGAGGAATTAGATTGTATTTTGTGGGTTCAATTAGGGATGTTTTTGGGTCTTTTTTTAAGAATATATTGAATCAGTTTATTTGTTATTTACGTTATTCCATTGCGAACTTTTGAAGGTGATCTCAGTGCACCTGTTGTGATCACAGTTTGTGATTTTGCACTCCCTGATGGCAGGTCACTACTCGAAGCTAGAGAGACTTCTTCAGCCCTTGGTTAGTTAAAGCCTACATTAGAGTCAATATCATGGATTCTCTATTCCTTATTTAGTAATAACTTGATTTATGCAACCCTCAAGTTTATTTAGCCATGTAAATTGAACTTTTTCCTGCTTTAATGTAGGGGCAGTTGGATCAGCTGACGGGTCAGCATTAGCAAAGGTTGGTTCAATTGTAATTACTTATCTCTATTTAACCATGTGTGTTTATTTTTGATGTATAACTGAAATATATAGTTGTGTGAACAACCCATGAAGAAGAATATTAGCTGGGTGAGCAACTTTTGTTTTTTATATTGTGTTTTGAAAATGTTTTGGAGCAACATTGTCGACTGTAGCGCAGAGTATTTTTTATGAAAGAAAAGATCAAAGAATCCCCAGTTTTTAATAGCTCTGTATCCATAGTTGCCAATTTTTCTGTTATTACTACAACAATTCTGAAAGGGACTCAATTTTCGGAGTCTTCAGTTATTGTTAACTTTTTTTTAATCGAAAGTTTTTTTTCACCTTTTGGTTTAGGCTTCTCTAAATATCGAAGCTATATTTAATGATTTCATGTTTTTTTTTTAATTGTGTTACATCTTAATTTGATGGTGTTTACAGAAGGATACATGTAGATGTAGCAACTGTTTTGTAAGAGCCAAAGAAACTGTACATGGGCTTGGGTTAGCAGTTGCTATTTCATCCCACAGATGGAGACGCTATTGATATTGAGTAATCTTCGAAGAAAGTCACCTCTTCAGAGAAGTAATCTGGCAGCATTCGTTAAGCACTTTCCAAGGTACGGACTTCACCAATCCCAGGTTTTAGTTTGTTTCTAATTTATTGAATTTTTAGGGGCATATTCCGTAATTAAAGGGGAAGGAGGGGTCCAATTTGGTTTCGAAATCTTCAATCTGGTCAAATGAAAGAATCAAAATTCAAAGATAATTTGCCACCAATCATAGGACTCTGACTTCCAACTCTGCTGCTGCACTGAAAAATCATAGTTTTCTTCATACGTTGGAAACATATTCTTTTGTTTTTGGTTTTTTTTACTAATATTAGTAGCTTTTTAGGGTTTAACTATTTGATTTCACACATTCATTACAGACACAGTAAATAGTTACATTTTAAATTCGTATAAGCATGGAATTTTTGCTTTTGTTTTTATTGTTGTTGCCTTGATTGTGGTTATCTGACTGATTAATACTCCATGATATATTGAGCAATATTGTGCGGCTCTAAGAATTTCGTATGTGTTTACGCGTATTTTTGTACTCTGGATAATTCTAATCAAATTCCATTGCTCCTAAGCTAAGGTCAGAATTTGTAGCATATAAGGGAAGGTTAGCAGATTCTTGCCAATTATCCAAAGCTGGATATTAAGGTCTTTAAGATTAATATCTTTTTGTATGTGTAGCATCTGCTTGGAAAAGGTTTCAACTTTATTTTTTATTTGTTAGATGATCAATTGATGTATTTTATGACAGTTGATCCGCAAGATATAAACATGATTTCTTTGTTTATGTATACTGTTTAATTATATCAATGGAAATTGGTGCTGCCATTGTGGCAGTATATGAATTTCTGGCTTTTGAGATAAAGTACTAAGAAATTTTGATTTCTTTTTTCTTTACATGCTTTTCTTTTAATTTTGCAGGAATTCTCACGTTGCCTTGATTAAGTTATACATGGCCATGAGAAGGTATTGCTCATCCCCACAAACATTTTGTACATGTGTGGCATTAATATATTTTGTTTTCTGATTGAATTTGTTTTCATTCAATGGGGTTGGCGAACTAAACAGCAAGTAGCTTTTTAATCGTGTTGAAATTGAAGTCCTAATTTTGGTAGTTTGTTCATAATTAGTGTGTTATGTTGTTTTCCTGTGTGTTTTATGTGTTTCTTAATTTATGGGAGTCTTCACAAGAAATGTTTTGTACAAAGATATTTTGCTTCGATCAATATGATATGGTTACATTCATTCTTTTAGTGTTTAATTCACTTTTCAAATCCACGTAAATAAATACATTTAAATTGTATAAATCGTGGGTAGAATGCCGTAATTATAAAAGGGCTTTCCGCACGTGCGTGAGCGCGTGCAGGGAGGCTAGTATGGAAATTAATGAAAAGGATTTCAAAACTTTGTATTTTAATAAAAAAAATATCTAATAACTTTATTTAATGATAAGGATAAAAAAAAAAACATAAAATATAAACATGTGTGCCCAACGTGTCCCCCCAACCCCCTTCCCTCACCCCTTGAAATATAACTAAATAAGAAAAAGTACATGAAAATACACACACATATATATATATATATATATTATATTATGTATGAATTAGCTAACTGTAACAACGATGACACTAATTATGTTTTTAATCTTTGGTAGCACTGCAAGAAGCTGTTGAAACTGGTCCCGTACAAGGCTTTGGTAAAAGGCTCAGTTCCATTCTAGCCACCTATCTTTCCGAGAAGTTTGACTCTGGTTTAATTATGTTTTTAATCAATCATATAACTTGAATGCATTTTTCACATGTAACACTGACCACCTTGTTTTTTTGGGTTTTAATTTTGCCACTAAACTAAATGTTTATATGTATTCTTACCAGTTGTGTGTTTTCCATTCGTTGGAAGGTTTATTGTTAGTGTTCTATGGGCTTGTACTGTTTCTAGTTCTGACTTTATTTTGTATGTCTTGATCTCGCTTATGCATCATAGGTATGACATGGAGGCCATCTACTTTGATGAAGGTGTAAGGAACTCAAAACGACAACTGTTGGAGTCAAAAGCATTGGATGTATGTCTATTCCCCTTGTCTCTCAAATTTAACAGAGGGTTTAGTTAAGTTTTCAGTTTCTTAGACAATTTTTGCAACATAAGGAAGTCGTGATTGGAAGTGGTTTTAGTTAGGTTGTCAGTTTCATATACCATGTTACTATTGGCCTCAATCTCAGAATGAACACCATGATAATGAAGTGGTTTGGCAACATAAACTTTATCCTTCAAGTATCGTTATCAAACAATTATGCTTAAGTCAACAGCTGAACATCATTACTGGAGCATGACTCCATCTAATGACATTACCAGAAGCTTAAAGTCACTAATCTCACTCTGAGAAACAGAGGACAAATAGAGCTTGCTTGTTATGCAATACACAAAAAGTAACATAGCCTTATAGTTCAGATTTTCTTCAAAGTTCAAAATGAAATTGGTTAAAGGGTCTGTTGGACTTGGTGTGGTCAACTTTGTAAATTCGTTGCTGCCACTAATGCGAATTATTATTTTGTTTAAATCTTGCTTACCTCTGAATTTTCCAGTTTGTTTACCCTGCGTACTCGGCCATGCTCGGACACCTGCGTTCTAAAGCCCTTGAAGATTTTCAAGTGAGGCTGGAGCAGTCATTGAACAAAGGAGAAGGATTTGCTTCATCTGTTCGAACCTGTGCTCAGTCTTCTATGCTTGAGTTTGAGAAAGGATGTGCAGGTAATAGATTTGTTTAGTGAATTAACATGTTTGTCAACCAAAATATTTCTTTCATTACTTTTAACATGTTTCTCCTTTCAGATGCTGCCATACAACAAGCTAATTGGGATGCTTCAAAAGCCCAGGAAAAGCTTCGTCGTGATATAGATGCACATGCATCATCGGTTCGTAGTGCAAAACTGGCAGAATTGAATTCCAACTATGAGGTAGTGCTCTGATAATGTATTAAAGTCGTGGTTATTCTAAGACTATTCTTATGACGTTAGGCTCGTAATCTGCGTTATTCAAATTTCTTAATGCAAATACCCTTTATTTTTCAGAAAAAACTTTCTTCGTCTTTAAGTGGTCCTGTAGAAGCTCTACTCGAAACTGGTGCAAAAGACACCTGGGCTTTGATACGAAAACTACTTAATCGTGAGACTGAAGTTGCAGTATCAGAGTTCTCAACTGCAGTTGCCAATTTTGAGTTGGACTACAAAACGGTTGCCAAAATGAAGCAACATTTGAAGGATTATGCGAGAAATGTGGTGGAGACAAAAGCAAGAGAAGAGGCTGGGAAAATTATGATCCACATGAAGGATCGGTAGGAACTTGTTAAAAATCTTTTCTTTTTTACATTGTTATTGGTTGCTGATCACTTCTGTTGTCATTTCTCAGGTTTGCCGCAGTCTTCAATTATGACAGCGATTCAATGCCTAGGGTTTGGACTGGGAACGAAGACATTAAAAGTATTACCAAGGATGCACGAACGGTAATTACTGGGAACTTTTGTGGAAGTACATGTTATCTATCTTTCTGACTTAAACTGATGTTTTAGTTGTTTGATCATCTCTTTCTTGCAGTCTCTGAAGCTTTTGTCGACCATGGCTGCCATTCGCTTGGATGAGAAGCCAGATAATATTGAAAATGTCCTCGTTTCTTCTCTGGTGGACGGGACTGTTACTGTTTCATCTTCACAAAATAGGAAACTAGGACCTTCTACTGATCCTCTTGCCTCAAGCTCTTGGGAAGAGGTACCATTAATTTATGGGTTTGGTTTTATGTAAAATTTTTCTATGATGAAACTCTTTTCTTATTAAGGTTAACTCTGAACTAGGTTTCTTCGAAGGATACCTTAATTACCCCAGTACAGTGCAAGTCATTGTGGAGGCAGTTCAAAGCAGAGACCGAATATAGCGTCACTCAAGCTATTTCGGCACAGGTATACTTAAGTTTAACTTCAGTAGTCTAATTTTTTTTTTTAATTTTTTTTAATTTTTTTTTATATCGTTTAATCAGAGTTAACTTAAAGCCTACAGTCAAGTTGGCTGGCAGCAACTAATCCCAAGCTGTAGGGAAGGGGTTCAAACCCCGGCGCCAACATATATCAATGTGATTAGTGCGTACGCACCTCAAGTAGGGTTGGATACGAGTTCGAAGGAGAAATTTTGGGAAGACCTTGGAGACTTGGTGCAAGGAATTGCTCAGACGGAGAAGTTATTTATAGGAGGAGATTTAAATGGACACGTGGGCAGGGAGACAGGCAACTATGGAGGTTTTCATGGTGGCCATGGTTTTGGGGAGAGAAACGAGGATGGGGAAGCTATCTTGGATTTTGCAATGGCATATGATCTCTTCTTAGCCAACACCTTCTTTAAGAAGAGAGAAGAACATGTGATCACCTACAAGAGTGGGTCGTCAAAAACACAAATAGATTTTCTTCTAATGAGGAAATGGGATCGTATAATTTGTAAGGACTGCAAAGTTATACCAGGAGAGAGCGTGGCTAATCAACATCGCTTGTTGGTGATGGATGTACATATCAAACGAGTGAGAAAAAAGAACAAGACTTGGAAGTGCCCAAGGACTAGATGGTGGAATCTAAAAGAAGAAAAACAAGCCATTTTCAAAGAGAAAGTAATCACCCAGTGTGTGTGGGATAGAGAGGGGGAAGCTAACCAAATGTGGGATTCCATGGCTAGTTGTATCCGAAAAGTAGCAAAAGAGGTATTAGGAGAGTCCAAGGGCTTTACCCCACACCAAAAGGAATCTTGGTGGTGGAATGAGGAGGTACAAACAAAGGTGAAGGCTAAGAAGGAATGTTGTAAAGCCTTATACAAGGATAGGACCGATGAAAATGGTGAAAGGTATAGAAAAGCGAAGCAAGAGGCGAAGAAAGCTGTGAGAGAAGCTAAGTTAGCGGCTTATGACGATATGTATAAGCGACTAGATACTAAAGAAGGAGAGTTGAATATCTATAAACTAGCTAGAGCAAGGGAAAAGAAGACAAGGGACCTAAACCAAGTGAGGTGCATCAAGGATGAGGATGGAAAGGTTCTTGCTACAGAGAACGCGGTTAAAGACAGATGAAAAGGTTATTTTCATAATCTTTTCAATGAAGGACATGAAATGAGTGCTTCTTTAGGGGAGTTGAGTAACTCAGAAGAGTGTAGAAACTACTCGTTTTATCGTAGAATCCGGAAGGAAGAAGTGGTTGTAGCTTTGAAGAAGATGAAGCATAGAAAAGCAGTAGGCCCAGACGATATACCAATCGAAGTGTGGAAAGTTTTGGGAGAGAGGTATAACATGGCTCACTGACCTTTTCAATAGGATTTTGAAAACGAAGAAGATGCCAAATGAGTGGCGAACGAGCACTTTGGTGCCTATCTACAAGAATAAGGGCGATGTACAAAATTGCATGAACTATAGGGGTATTAAGCTAATGAGTCATACAATGAAGCTCTGGGAGAGTCATTGAGCATAGATTGAGGCAAGAGACACGGGTTTCGGACAACCAATTCGGGTTCATGCCAGGGCGCTCAACCATGGAGGCAATCTATCTCTTACGAAGATTGATGGAAAGATATAGAGATGGGAAAAAGGATTTACACATGGTCTTTATAGATTTGGAAAAAGCGTATATGATAGGGTCCCAAGAGACATTCTTTGGAGGATTTTAGAGAAGAAAGGAGTACGAGTAGCATATATCCAAGCTATACAGGATATGTATGAAGGAGCAAAGACTGCCGTAAGAACTCATGAAGGACAAACCGAAAGCTTCCCCATAACTGTAGGATTACATCAAGGCTCATCCTTAAGTCTTTACTTTTTTGCGTTGGTAATGGATGAGTTAACAGGACATATTCAAGATGATATTCCTTGGTGTATGCTTTTCGCAGACGATATAGTGTTGATAGATGAAACTCAGGAAGGGGTAAATGCAAAGCTTAACCTTTGGAGAGAAGTGTTGGAATCTAAAGGTCTTCGCCTAAGCCGATCAAAGACAGAATATATGGAGTGCAAGTTCAGTGCAAATGGAGGCCAAAACGAGTTAGGGGTGAGGATCGGAGATCAAGAAATACCAAAGAGCGACCGTTTTCGTTACCTAGGATCTATCTTGCAAAAGAACGGAGAATTAGATGGAGATCTCAACCATAGAATACAAGCTGGATGGATGAAGTGGAAGAGTGCATCCGGCGTGTTGTGTGACCGCCGTATGCCACTGAAGCTCAAGGGAAAATTTTATAGGACGGCAATAAGTCCGGCAATGCTGTATGGCACAGAATGTTGGGCGGTGAAGCATCAACACGTACACAAAATGGGTGTAGCGGAGATGAGGATGCTTCGTTGGATGTGTGGGCACACGAGAAAGGATAAGATTAGGAATGAGGATATCCGGGGTAAAGTAGGAGTAGCCGAAATTGAAGGAAAGATGAGAGAACATCGGTTACGGTGGTTTGGACATGTGCAAAGAAGGCCTACTGACGCTCCGATTAGAAGATGCGACTATGAGACAGAGGTTCAGGGCCGAAGGGGTAGAGGAAGACATAGGAAAACTTTGGAAGAGACCCTAAGAAAAGACTTAGAGTACTTGGATCTAATGGAGGACATGACACAGGACAGAACACAATGGCGTTCTAAGATTCATATAGCCGATCCCACTAAGTGACTTGGATTTTCCAAGTCTCCAATCGAGAAGTTTTCCTCACTCGGGAAATTAAGGGAACACTACCTCAACCTACATGCTCCACTCACAAAGCTTCATACAAGCTTCAACAAAAGAAAATTCAAAGAACTTAGCGAAAAAGGCTTTGGTGTATTTAACACAATACGTTGAAATGAAGGAAAGCTTATTTATTGATATCCCCGATAAGTTACAAATATGTACATATACTTGAGTCAATAAACAAACAAGAGGGAGCCTTCACAAAGGTTGCTTAGGAGAAGTCTCAGCAGTCGGTAGAGCCCCAGAAAGAGAAGGCACCGGAGGGGGATCATTCGGAGCCTCAGTACTGGACAGAACCCTAGAAGGAGGAGGCATCAGAGGTTGATCATTTGGAGCTTCATTACGCGGTACAGCCCCAGAAGACGAAAGCAATAAATGCCTTTGGAACAAACCCACAAATCTCTGATGATCAAGTAAAACCTGACCATCAGATTCCTTCATCTGGTCAAGCTTCCTCTTTATGTTTGTAGCATAGTCATGTGCGAGCCGGTGCAACTGTTTATTCTCATGCTTGAGCCCTCTAATCTCCTGTTTGAGACTCATCACTTCAGCCGCCAATGATTCAACTTGGCGGGTTCGAGCAAATAGGCGTTGGGCCATATTAGACACAGAACCTGCACACTGAACACTAAGAGCCAGAGAATCCTTAACAGCCAACTCATCAGACCGTTTGGAAAGTAGTCTGCTATCTTTGGGAGTGAGAAGGTTCCTGGCCACTACCGCAGCGGTCATATCATTCTTCATCACGGAATCCCCAACGGTAAGAGGACCAGTAGGGGAGACGAAGGATGGGCGCCATATGTTGTCTGGAGAAGGCGGGGCTGCCTCTTCAACAAGGTTCAAGTCAAAACGACGGTCGGAGGGGCCAGACATTTTCAAAGGTGTTGAAGAGAGAAGAGGTCGGACAAATCAAGATCTTAGAAGTGCAAGAATGGAGCTTCTACTGGTGGATATTCAAGTGTGTGCTTTGGAACTTAATGTCTGCCCCTATAAAAATCTGCACTCGATGAAGCTTCAGAAATCGAAGAGGCGCCTGCTCAGAAATCGAAGAGGCGTTTGCTTTCTCAAAAGCTGGGCTGCTCAGAGACCACGAGGGTCGATCTTAGAAATCGAAGAGGCGTTTGCTTTCTCAAAAGCTGGGCTGCTCAAAGACCACGAAGGCCGATCTCAGAAATCGAAGAGGCTTGCTTTCTCAAAAGCTGGGCTGCTCAGAGACCACGAGGGCCGATCTCAGAAATCGAAGAGGCACCTACTTTTCCAGCCCTGTCAGCACCTGTCACACGCACACTCAGCTTTGCGGAAATTATGGGCATTCTGTCGAAGATTTCTGGCGAAGTAGAAAGCACATGAATCATATGGTTCAATCACCCACTTCCCACACGCAACAGTAGCTCATGGGTACCACATATAACTTTGCCAAAGTTCTCTGACAAAGTTGAGACACGTGAAGCTTGCAGCTTCCACTACATCACTCTGACCAAGAAGGGTAAAAGATTAGCAAAGAAACAACACTAACAAAGTTTAGACACATAAATTTTGAAGGTCTACTACAAGGGTAAAGGAACAGTACCACTGCTGGATATAATTGGAAAGTCCCGGTGTGTCAACCTCTGTGCTTCGTGGCAAGGTAGACTAGCAAACATGCCCAACCTTTACCCACATTCGAGAAAACACTCCCAACAAGATTGCTTGCTCCAAAATCGAAGAGGCACCGCCCTCCGAATCTCGAGAGCCAGACTCCCAACATGATTACTTTCTCAAAAATCGAAGAGGGTAAAGGAACAGTACCACGGCTGGATAATTGGAAAGTCCCTGTGTGTCAACCTCTGTGCTTCGTGGCAAGGTAGACTAGCAAACATGCCCAACCTTTACTCACATTCGAGAAAACACTCCCAACAAGATTGCTTGCTCCAAAATCGAAGAGGCACCGCCCTCCGAATCTCGAGAGCCAGACTCCTAACATGATTACTTTCTCAAAAATCGAAAAGAGGGTAAAGGAACAGTACCACTGCTAGATAATTGGAAAGTCCCTGTGTGTCAACCTCTGTGCTTCGTGGCAAGGTAGACTAGCAAACATGTCCAACCTTTACTCACATTCGAGAAAACACTCCCAACAAGATTGTTTGCTCCAAAATCGAAGAGGCACCGCCCTCCGAATCTCGAGAGCCAGACTCCCAACATGATTACTTTCTCAAAAATCGAAGACACCGCTCTCCGAATCTCGAGAGCCAGACCCCTAGTAGGATTGCTTTCTCAAAAATCGAAGAGGCATCGTTCTCCGAATCTCGAGAGCCAGATCCCCGACAGGATTGCTTGTTCGAAAACCGAAGAGGCACCACTTTCCGAACTTCAAGAGCTGGATCTCCTTGGATAAAACTTGTCTGTAATCTTCACACGCAACATCAGCTTTCCAGATACCACAGATCACTTTTTCAAAGTGCTCTGACAGAGTTAAAACTTGTGAAGCTGGCAGCTCCCACTACCGTGTTATGACCAAGCAGGGTAAAGGAATAGCATTATTACTTGATGTTAGGGAGACTCCTATATATGTCGACCTCCATCCCCAACGGACAGGCAGACCTGCAAAAATGCTCAACCCTTCCTCTTATCTGAGAGGGCACTCCCAACGAAGCTTTTCGAAATATTCAGCTTTCTTTCCCCCCGATAATACCTCTGTAAACAAGCTATACTAGAGCAAGAATATCTCATATCATCAGGATTAAAAGCAAGAGTATCCCATATCATGCTTTTTCCCTGTCTTTTCCTTTGGCCTTGTTCTTACCTGCAAGACAAGGAGAAAGAGAGCAATCAGTCAACACTTGGAATCAAGCTTCCAGCCAGGAACTGACTGCCTGGAACCCCTTACCTGATTACTTACCTGTCATTGCTCTCGAGTACTCATTTTCAACATCTTATGCTTCCAGGGAAGATCCCGCATCTGCCTGAGGAACAGATAGGGCAAGTGAGAAGGATACAAGGAAGCATGTGGAGACAAGCGTAACAGCACACGTGCCGATACATCAATTACTCTGTCAAAAGCAAAAGTATCCCATATCAGCAGGGTCGAACGTACTCTAGATTTGATGGACTTGTTTTGACCCTCAAATTCTTCAGTCGGCCTTATCTCTGGAGGAAACCAGAAAACCCTCCAGCCCAGTTCAAGAATAAGCCTGTGGAAAGTTACTTCTTCAAAAGCAAAAGTATCCCATATCATCTCTTCTCATTTTTCTTCTCTTTATCCTTCATGCTGCCTGCAAGATAGGGAGAATGTGAACAATCAGCCAGAGCTCTGATTGCTTACCTTGTCTGTCACCTCTTTCAGCAGATCCCCTAGCTCGGCGACTTGGGGGACTCCTACTACATGGTTTGTATCGCGCTTGACCAAGCCTGAAACTACAAGTAAGCTTCAAGTGACATTGATACATTACCTTGTGCAGCTCCACCAGTTACAGATACCACCCCTGGATGAAGGAAGAGTACTTCCAGAGAAGATGCCACATCTACCTATGAGACAGATAAGGAAAGTCAAGACGATACCACACTCCAGTACTTAGAAGTTTCGTGGTTACGAGATCATTCTCCCACAATATTTCCTACTGTCATTTGTACTAATTCATTCACTTGTACTCACTAAAGGAGAGCTTGAACCTATGTACTTGTGTAAACCCTTCACAATTAATGAGAACTCCTCTATTCCGTGGACGTAGCCAATCTGGGTGAACCACGTACATCTTGTGTTTGATTTCCTATCTCTATCCATTTATATACTTATCCACACTAATGACCGGAACAATCTAACGAAGATCACAAAAAGTGACCGTTTTCGCTACCTATGATCTATCTTGCAATAGAATGGAGAATTAGATGGAGATCTCAACCATAGAATACAAGCTGGATGATGGATGAAGTGTAATAGTGCATCCGGCGTGTTGTGTGTGACCGTCGTAGGCCACTGAAGCTCAAGGGAAAATTTTATAGGACGGCAATAAGGCCAGCGATGTTGTATGGCACAGAATGTTGGGCGGTGAAGTATCAACACGTACACAAAATGGGTGTAGCGGAGGTGAGGATGCTTCGTGGGATGTATGGGCACACGAGAAAGGATAAGATTGGGAATGAGGATATCCGAGGTAAAGTAGGAGTAGCCAAAATTGAAGGAAATATGAGAGAAAATCGGTTTCGGTGGTTTGGACATGTGCAAAGAAGGCCTACTGACGTTCCGGTTCGAAAATGTGACTACGGGACAGAGGTTCAGGGCCGAAGGGGCAGAGGAAGACCTAGGAAAACTTTGGAAGAGATCCTAAGAAAAGACTTGAGTACTTGGATCTAACGGAGGACATGACACAAAACCGAGCGCAATGGCGTTCTAGGATTCATATAGCCGACCCCACTTAGTAGGAAAAGGCTTTGTTGTTGTTGTTGTTGTTGTATCGTTTAATCAGAGTTGCATCCCGAATAAATGGATTTTATCTTTTATAAAATGTTCTTTAAAGATTTGGATTATGAAAATATGAATATTGGAACATGTTCCTGCAAAAGTAATGAACAACTGGTAGGAGGAACGTGGAAATAGGACGCATGCATTGTCCTCGGATGACATTTTGGGCGGGAGTTCTTATGTAAATTGCTTTTAGTTTAGTAATGAAACCAAACATATGGAAACACTTCATATTGAAAATCGAGCTGATTCTTTACTTGGGAACGGTTTAGTCAGATAGGACCAACTTATAATCAAGTTCAGTGTATTCTTGTTTTTTCTACAAAGAAAAATCCTAGCATCCTAATACTATTTTTGTAACGAGCTCCCTATCTTTATGCTTATAGCTCTGCTTAATCATGATGTTGTTTGCTTTTGTACTTTCAGGAGGCTCACAAGCGGAGTAACAACTGGTTACCTCCTCCATGGGCTATAATGGCGATGATTGTTCTTGGTTTTAACGAATTTATGATGCTTTTAAAGTAATTACTTTCGTTCTTTTTTGTTTCCTTTTGCGAGTTTTAGGTTTTGGACATTTTTAAGTGTCCAGACGCTAATGTCTTGCACATCTGTTAATCACTGTGCCTTTTTTCTTCAAATGAAACAGGAACCCTCTCTACCTCATGGTTCTATTTGTTGCATTTTTACTTTCAAAGGCCTTATGGGTACAGATGGACATTACGGGACAGTTCCAGCATGGCGCTGTAAGTATAAAACTGAGTTTTTTTTGTCTCACTTAGTAGAGTGCAAAATTGGGATTGAACATGGAATACAACAGCTGGTGATCCTAATTTGATAGAGACGTCACTCGGGGCTGGCCTTTTTGGTTACAGTCTCTCATCAAATTGTAATTTTCTTGATTGAAGCAGTTTCTAATTCTAGTTTTCCGTTATTTGTTTTTACCAGCTGTCCGGAATACTGTCCATCTCATCAAGGTTTCTACCAACCGTCATGAATCTTCTAAGAAAACTCGCGGAAGAAGCTCAGGGGAATCAAACACCGGAAGCACAAAGGCGGCCAGTTTCTCTTTCTCAGAGTTATAGAAGTGAAACACCTCAGCCAAATCCGGTAACAAGCTCATTCCCGGAGTCCTCAGTGTCATCCAATATCTCGTCATCAGATACCGGCATGGAATACTCAAGCCCTCCTTTAAGACAAAGGCGAACGGCAAACGTTGAGGAAGTTGAATCTTCATGATGTATGATCTCTGTTGTAGTTACTGCTCATTTGTTTGTACCATGTGCATCAGATTAAGGTCACTACTCATTTGTGCGATAGTTTTCATTCTTTTTTATTTTGTTTCTTGTTTGTAGTTTACTGAAAATTTGAAATAAAAATAAACGGGGTTTGCTTAGTGCCTGGTTTTACAAATTATAGGTTAGTTATGTTTCGAGGAATTAGATTGTAAAATCTGCGCATTCTAAACATTGCCTCTCTTTCTTGACAACTTTTTCTTTCATATTAGTATTGTCAGTAAAACAAATGAAAAAAACTTATGTGAAGCTCAGCTTGTCACTGGACTTTGCTGAGTGCTGCTACGATCTACTTTTTATCATTCTTCTATTTTAATTTTTCATAATTATCTTTTCTACTAATTAAGGGTAAATTAATTAGGATAATCTACTACTGATTCATATACACAATGACAATCATATCAGATTTAATTAGAGCTATGCATAGTCTTGAAAATATAAATTTAATTAGAGCTATGCATAGTCTTGAAAATCATGTAGGATATTACACAGGAAAATTAGAAAAAAAAAATGAAATCAAAAATATAAAATATAGCACTTAAATCCTACCACAATGATTTTCTCGTGTTCAGCAAAATAGGAATGGTTGTGCATGTATGCTTCTTTCCTTTCTTCATAAGAATATGAATGGTATACAAAAAGCATTGTGGATGCTAATATTTTATCAATAAAATGAAGGAATCTTTAACGAAAAGCATCCGGTACTGTTCACTTTAACGAAAAACCACATTTTTACACTAAAAATTCAATACTGGTACTATTCACCCTTTATTTTGTCCTTATCATTAAAACTCAAAGTTTTCAAGCCCTTTTCATTAGTTTTCCTTAAAATGAATTATAGTATCTACTTTGACTAACAACAAATTGAATATCACAAAAATATATTAAATTGTCTATATGTTTGCTTTCTTTTTCTTTTCTTCTACCTTGACAAGCAGTAGCCTGACATTTAGATCGTGGGTGGATTTTCCCAATTAAGATGCAGTTGGGGATCAATATGATTTTAACTATGTTTTTGAAATTGAGTTTTTTTTTTCTTTTCATTCCATGATAGTTGGAGAAGATTGGCTTTTTTTTTTTCTTCTTCTCGTGTCCTTATGAAGAAAGTAAAGAAACTGGGAAGAAGACTGCAACGGCAGTGAAACTGGGTTTGCTCAGCGCCTGGTTTTACAAATTATAGGTTAGTTATGTTTTGAGGAATTAGATTGTAAAATCTGTGCATTTTATAACATATGAATTTAATATCGTATTGTCTTTTAGCTTCTATATTGGTATGTGTGGCAAAAAAATGGGTACCTCTATGAGAAAATTTTGTAGATCGATGAATATTTTCAAATTTAGATATTTATTAGATCCCATAAATTCTATTCGCGAAAGTCTAAGTCAATGCCACGTACAATATTTGTTAAAACATTATTTAGGGAACTATTATTAGCACTCAAAAATCTCATTCTACACTCCCGCACAAATGTATTTTTCTTTCTAATTATAGAAAGTTTGGAGTGACAAATGAGATTTTTGGAGTGCTAATAACAATTTTTCTATATTTTTATATACATTTTATTTTTAGTTTTGGAAGTCGACTTTTTTTTCTTTCTTTTCTTTCTTTATCAAGTTGGGAGTATCACTGAGTGTGACCCTGTGCAACT